TGTACGATAAGGGATTCGTTATCATGTCGCTGTAAGACCGCTCTGGACACGGATGATCTTTGGCATGGTACCCCTGTCTTTATTTGCATCTGGATTGCTAGTGGCAGCAAGGATAACGTCAAGTCATGCTTGGAACTTCTGTACAGCTCAGGCGGGAAAGAAGAATTGTTCGAGTCCAAGTCCTTGTCGTTTAGAATACACGGCCGAAGATACTTCAGCCACTCAATCTATTGCATATGATAATAGCCGTTGTTCTATTTCATTGTCRCTATCGCGACGGAAGCTGTTTTCGGTGATCCCGCATCAAGCATTTGCAGCATCATCTTTGTGCCTCGTCGCATTGGGATCGCCTACATCTCCGGCGTTTGCAAGGAACATGCCGGTTTCAAACGGTGCAAACACAGCAAATGTAGGAACAGTCYCGGCTCTGGTACCATTAGTAGCTCTGCGTTACAATCTTGTATCCTTGCGGGAACTTATGGAAGTGAACCAGCGAAAAAGGGACGATGGGGGGATTTTGAATATTATCACCAAAACAAAAGCTGCACTTTCTTTCCGAAAACTCGGCATTGATAGTGGCACTGTGCCGGTCACAATACCAACTCGGGAAGAAGAGTTCAAGCGTTTATTTGATGCCTATTCAGACCAGGTTAGCTACAAGCAGAAATTTTTAGATCAAAATGCCTTCTTGGTTTACTACACAAATGGTTATGATGGGCCCGGTCGTGATAGCTTGGAAAAGGATCCTGTCAATGAAAGACAGACCTTGCAATTTGGAGCCAGGAATGAAGCCTGGATTTTCTGGGATGATTTTCTTTCCGAGTGTGATTTTTACGAATCTTCTATTCGCAAGACAGGCGCCTCAAGCAGCGACGATGCTGATGAGAGTTTTGTAGATATGATGAAATACCTGTCAAATACTATTCAAGCCTTAGATAGCTATTTAAAGCTATCGCCTCCTGAAGATTTGAAAGCGGCCGAAAAAGAAGTTTCATGAAGAATCTCGAATTTCACTTTGGCTTTTGGTCGACTGTGAACCAATCAAGACTTAATTGTTGCGTTGCCTGCCTTTCAGGCGATCGAGAACCGCGTTAAATTCAGTATTGGATCATCGTAATCGTCAGAAAATATTTTTTCAACCAACACCTCTGAACTAGCGTTGTAATAATGTCGAAGTTTGGCTATGGCCGATGTCTGATGCTTCGCTTTCGTGTCTTTGCTGAAGATAGATTCGTTGCCATACTTKCCCCAGCCTGAAGCTCCGAAAGATCTCCAAAGATCACTGTTCCCATCCACGAAAAATTTATCGCGGTTGCTTGACTGAAGTCTTTGCAGTAATTTTTTGGTGTCTTCCTGGAGACGATGGAAGTTTCCCACAAAATTGATGAATGGCATGAACGCCTTGTCAATTCGTTTTGTTTGTGGTCTCCAGTGCGGGTCGCAGCAACAAGTGTCTTCTATAATACGCAAAAATCCCAAAAAGGAAGAATTCGCCTCCTCGCCACAGGTAGCGTTCTTCGTGTTGCAGCAGTGTCTTTGGACGTATTTTCCGTTTTTCCGCGCAGCCTTATCCAAAAATGCTGATAGAGTTCGTTCCTTCGGATCCCTAACAAAAACTGCGCGAGTCCATTCAGGGTGTGTTAGGATCGTCAAGGCATCAGCAATACTATAATGATAAAGGTAGGTCAAGCCGTTCTTCTTTGGGTTGTGGGGTAGATGTGCGCTGTCAGTCATCCAGTCCTCTGCACCCATCATCCGTCGAAACAACTGTTTGAAGACAGTACATGCGACCTATATTCGATTTGCGAACGAAAATGGAGAAAGATATGAATGCTGGTTTCTGCCTTTTTCGGAAGGTATTCCGATGAATTGTTGAGGTATTTGCCGACTTACCTTGCCTTGAGTGAAAAATACTAGTTTATATTGTTCGATGACAATCCCCGCGCCGTCCCAGGGCCCTACAGAAACGTGTTTCAGAAACAAAAAGAGGTTGAAAACAGTTAGAATTTTTGGAGCGAAATCATTCATAAGGGAGATCGCGAAGACAAATTGCGCCGACTTTCATCCTATATCCTATCGGTCATCAGCTTGTCTTACCTGGCCTGTAAACGTAAGCATTTTTCAAAGATTCGCCATCAAAATTATAAGCAGACAGACTATTCAGATGATTCCTGGTTTCTGGAACTTTATAAGTCGGGTCAACAATATTTGAAGGACTGATCCATCTTTCACTCAAAGTTATTTGGTGGTTATCAATCTCTCCTTCTCCCGTTGATACAACAAGCTTAGGAGAACTTCTGACTGTATGAGTACTGTTGTCATTACTGATACCCATGCCACTATGGTTCGACGGGTGGGACCATATGTAATACTCCTCTCTTCTGACACTATCTTCGTGCTCCCGAAGCTGAATGACAGTTGACTCATTCCAAATCATGTAGGCAGACATGAGGAATATGGCAACAAGCCCAGCTATCAACCTAGAACTGGAAATCGTCAGYCGCCTACCACTGCCACCACTATCTCGAGCAACAGAACTATGTCGCCACTGGGGCCGTCGATGTCGCTGCCACCACCATAACATCGTGTGCCATTGTTGTTGTCCAAAACGACGGATGAACTTTTTATCGAAATACTATGAAGCCGTGTCGGCTATCGGCGGCAACGTACGGTACGTACGTATCAGTACGTACTCGTAACTCGTACCATGCTTCAAGTCGTAATGCCGCTACACC